CAACAAAAAAGAAATATGATTTTTTCCTGATTGGTTGTAATGATATTGGTTTTATTCTTTCTTATTTATGTTCTCTGCCATGTTTACTAGCCACTTTTAAGAGAGGGAATAACTAAGTAAGAATTAGTAGTATTTACGTTCCACATGCAAATTCAGAGAATTTCTTCACAACTCGGAGATAAAAATATGCTCCTAAGAATTTAGGATCTGTCATAACAAATGGGTATCTTATTTCTGTACTGAAGAGCAAGTCTGTTGTGAAGCAGATTTCTTCTATTAACAGAGAATTAACAGAATTGAAGACTTGCAAGCATTAAAAAAAAAAAGAGCGACTGATCAAACTGTAGCAAGCAAATACATTATAGATCTTTACTACCATTAAATCCATAGACTATCAATAAATTGCAGAAACAGTAGATAGCAATAAGAAGCAGAACTACCTTCAAGCGTCTAGACAACTCAAGTGCATGCAATATGTTAGCAAGTTTTGATTGTCCATAGGCCTTTCTGTCATTATATCTGATGATATCGAAAAGAAAGAGAGAGCGAAAACATTAATACACAAGTCATAATCATTTCATCCAGTGAAATTCATGACAAGAAAAATTGCTGAGATAATCACAGAATATCCAAAGATGGAAAATGGAAAATTAAGTTCAGTCCGGTATCATCATACCCAGCTTTGTTGTCGATCTGATCAAACAGTATTCCTCCTTCATAAGTATGAACGTGTGCAAAGGATGACAAATTCACAATTCTCCCTTCAATGCCAGTCTCCTTAGCCGTTCTCTTGATGTTCTCAAGAAGAAGGTTGGTCAAATAGAAATGACCTGATAATGCAACAGAATAATAATGATGAAAGAAAAGTGATCCATAAGCTTTGGAATGAAAGTTCATACAGAAATATTCTTCAAGAATCAAGTAAAATGGCAAACCAAGATGGTTGGTCGCAAATTGCATCTCGAAACCATCCACTGAAAGCTGGAAAGGACAGAACATGACACCAGCATTATTTCTGCAGGTTAAAAAAGCATAAATTAATATCAATATCAATGCAGGGTGTAAAAGCAAATAAATTTCCAAGGATATTAATGCATAATGATTATAATAGTGATAGCTTACATCAAAATATTAAGTGGCAGGCCAGTTGCCAAGAAATTATCTGCAAAGGCTCTTACAGACTTCAGTGAGCTCAAATCAAGTTTCATAATATCCACACGAGCAGCTGGATTGCACTTAATGATAATCTTCTTGGTATCATTGGCAGCTTCTACATTCCTGGCAGCAATGATGACGTGGGCTCGTCGAAGAGCAAAGACCCTCGCTGTCTCTGCGCCAATTCCACTTGCTCCTCCTGTGTTGCATTAACAACTCCATCAACACTAACAAGATTTTAAAGACCCGTGCGAGGTTATATCTATAGAAATATCAAAAAATTAACCACAGTTAAACTTTTTGGTTGAAAAATAGCTCAATCATGTTGAGATTGGTCCAGATTTATGTTAATATTTGCAATTATACTTTCTTTAAGTTCTTGTATAGCTTTATGTTGCCTATGGAGTCTATACATAGGTGCATTAGTTTGTAATAAGGTTTAAGCCAACAACAATAAAGATTTCATCATTTTAATTTGCTCTTTCCCTCTCTTCTCTCTCTCTCTCTTTCAGCCAAGAAGTTTCAAGAGATTAAGTAAACTTTATCTTCCTCCAAAGAACATCCAACAAGTGCTATCAGAGTTAGGTGCAGGTCGAAGAAGAATATTGTCCAAAGAAAGAGCGGAGACCGGTCGGAGTTGGGAGTGCAGCAATCGGGAAGATCACATCACGCCGGCCAGAGCACGTGTTTGCACTGGAGTTCGGGTCACACGGGCTAAGCACGGTAGGTGGGCCGCAGGTGTGAGTGGTTGGAGGCCTGATAGCACAGGATCAAACAACGTACACAAGGGCATAAGCGCAGGTGGAGGCGGCACAGGGCACAGGTTGGACAGAAGCGGGAGAAGGGTTCGATTGCATGGAAGGGGGATGGAGCGGCTGGATCAGAACGGAAGTGCGGCTTCGGGTTGGAGGTGCAGGTACATTCGCATAAGGTGGAGCGGACAGTTGGAGCTAGCCTAGCTCGTGCAGGCGGAGGTCGAGAAGGTGAACACCATGGAGCACGAGAAGATCACGAGAACGTTCGTGTGAACGAAGGAGAGGTTGCAGTCTTGCAGCTCAGGTGCAGTTCTTGCGGGCCTATGTTGCACCGATACACCTATTTGTGAAAGCGTGTTGTGTGAGACCTCGTTCCCTTACTGTTCCTCTCTGACT